TGCTGGGAGCAGGGGGTGGGGCTCGTTGCAAGTGCCCGCCCCCTGGGCTCCTTACTGCCGGAGCTCCTATCCTGTGCCCTCCCGCAGGAAATGACCCCTGCTCATCACCACGGGCCCAACCCTTCCCAGAACGTGTCTCGATGCACCATAGTGACCGAGGAATGTTCACTAGTGCCCCCTGGGCAGGCGCTCTGGCTCTATGGCAGGGGTGGCCAAATTGTGGCTCGGGAGCCACATGCAGCTCTTTCACACAGATTGTGTGGCTCCCAGCAAGGCGGCTGGGGAAGCGAAGGGGAGGCATGCCTTCCCGATCGGTCTTCCTTTCCCCAGCTAGTGTTCCCCTTCCTGGGTAGGCTTGAGGCAACTTTAAATGCGTTCTCAAAGCATCCCCCATCAAGTCTACAAATATCATTGAACAAATAAATATCATTTTCAATATCTGGTTTTGCCCCTTTTGGTTTTGTTTCTGGCAGTCTCATTTAATGTGAATAAAAAGGAAATTTGCATATTTTTCAATTAAAACATGTGTAATATTTCTTCATGTCTTGCGGCTCTCAGACATCTGACGTTTACTCTATGTGGCTCTTACGTTAAGCAGGTTTGGCCGCCCCTGCTCTATAGCATATGGGTGAAAGGAGGAGGAGGAGGAGGAGGAGATTGGGTTTATACCCCGCCCTTCACTTGGAGTCTCAGAGCGGCTTACAAACTCCTTTCCCTTCCCCTCCCCACAACAGACACCCTGTGAGGTGGGTGGGGGCTGAGAGAGCTCTGACAGAAACTGCTCTTTTTCAAGGACAGCTGTGACAGAGCTTGTGACTGACCCAAGGTCACATCAGCAGGTGCAAGTGGAGGAGTGGGGAATCAAACCCGGTTCTCCCAGATTAGAGTCTACACACTTAACCACTACACCAAACTGGCTCTCAGGAGAAGGGATCTATCACTGAACCTGGTTAACTCAGAAGCTGGGTCAGATAAAGAGAAGGGGGAAAGATGTAAAAATTCCTACTCATTTTCAAGATGAATAGTGAACAAAAAATGAAGTTTTATGAGTCATATTGGGGAGAAAAACATGCACAATTAATAGGACCAGGGTACAGTGCTGCCAGTTCCGTGGCACTCTGGGATTGTTGGAAACAAGTTTGTTAGCAATGTGCATATTTCTTGCCACCCTGTGTGAGGGGAGAGTGTATCAGCATATCTCCACGTGACCATTGTTTAATTTTTTAAAAACAAGATGGGAAGTCGGGCTTGTAAACAGTCACTCCCTCGTGCCCAGGGAGACCAAAAATAACCTTCAGAAGATCAGGCATGGAAACTTTTTTAATTTGGAAATGCAATTGACTAACTAACACAGGCCATGTGGGGTGGGGGGGGAAACCACCATCATGAGCTGGTATCTTTCCAGGTCTGGTCTTCTCTGCAAAGTTAACCTGAAGCTTATTTGGAAGACAAAAACTATAACCATTGAGCTCCTGGATCTTCCCGTGTGGACGATTCACTGGTGACTGACCAAGGAATACCGCAACAATACTTTGACAGACTGAGGGCCTGATTCAGTATAAGGCCCCTTCATGTGTTTGTGTCTTTTCACTCACTATTAAACAAACCAAACATGCAAATTCTCTTTCCCCAGCAGGTAACGTTGTTCTGTCTGCGTTTAAAACAAGCATGATCAAGCAGCTACGTTCTATTCTCTTAGGAAGAAGGTTGTACAACTAAAGTTGTAAATCGCCCAGAGCCTGCCTGCAGGGTGGGCGATCCATAAATGTAATAAAATAAATAAATAAAACTAGAGCAGCAAAGAGAGAGGAGATTGGACTTCTACCCCGCCCTTCACTACTCAAAGGAGAAAAGCTTACAATCTTCTTTCCCTTCCCCTCCCCACAACAGACACCCTGTGAGGTAGGTGGGGCTGAGACAGGTCTCCTGAGAACTGCTTGTGAGAGAACAGCTCTGAGAGAACTTGCGACTGACCCAAGGTCACACCAGCAGCTGCATGTGGTGGAGTGGGGAATCAAACCCGGTTCTCCCAGATGAGAGTCTGTGCTCCTAACCACTACACCAAACTTGCTCTCAATATTAAAAGATTTAAGGGTGTGCAGCAATCCAGACCAGGATACCGATTTACAAAAGACTGAAAGCTGGTATTCTGATCATCTTTGTTCCCATGGGATATTATTGGGTCATTTTTTTAAAAACCCTAGGGACTAACTGTTCCCTTTCATCAATCCAGCTGGTTCCTCAGTCCATGGACAGGACTGTCAGGAAAGGAAACCATCCTGGATTTACTACCTGGGTAAATTCCCAGGGTTGTAATCAGCAGCTACTGAGCCAAGACCAGTAAACTTTGGGTGGATCTTGCCTGTACCTGAACAGAAGTCCTGGTCTTGTCCTTGCAGCTAGAGGAAAATGTCCTTTTGTACCCAGTGGGGATTTTGATGAACACAAGGGTCATGACAGCAGACGGACTGACGTTCGTTCCACCCACATGCATACCATTCAGAACAGTCACACGGTAAAAACATGTTTGGGCAGCTTGCTCATTAAAAACAGGACAGACCTATAATCGGGATTTTTTTTTTAAAAAGGTCTTTAGCGTCCTAGAAAATAAGCAACCTGTGCAATTCATTTCCAAGAAACTTTGCAAGGGATCCAGTTGAAAACGTGCCTTCGTGCAGTTATGTGGGCTTTCCAGGAAATTTTTTGATTAATAATTTAAATATTCTCAATAATGTTAGCAAAAAGAAAGCAGTCGAGAGAGCTCTTTTGGGGCTTGTTCGTGAGAGGATAGCTTGTGAGAGAACTTGTGACTGACCCAAGGTCACACCAGCAGCAACATGGGGAAAAGTGAGGAATTAAACCCGGTTCTCCCAGATTACAGTCCGTGCTGCTAACCACTACACCAAACTGGCACTCTCTAAGTGGCCTGATCAAGCCACTAGCAGTTTATACTGGCGGAGGAAGAGAGGAATTCCCCAAACATATCACTTCCTCCCTTTGCAGGATACAGGATACGAATCACAAACTTGGGGAGAGGGAGAGAGACAGGGAGAGATCAGATCAGAGGCAGCCAATCCAAATTAATCCCTCTGCTTGGACTAACAGCTCCAGAGCCATCAAAACTCTTGCAAACATAACCACACTAGAGAGTGGCAGAAGTCGGGGGGGGGGGGGTCCCTGAAAAACTCAGAGGTTAGTTTACCCTGCCCTTCACTACCCAAAGGAGTCTCAGAGGGGCTTACAAACTCCTTTCCCTTCCCCTCCCCACAACAGACACCCTGTGAGGTAGGTGGGGCTGAGAGAGCTCTTTCCAGAACTGCTCCTGAGAACAGCTCTGACAGGACTATGGCTTGCCCAAGGTCATCCAGCAGGTGCAAGTGGAGGAGTGGAGAACCAAACCCGGTTCTTCCAGATTAGAGTCTGCGCACTTAACCACTACACCAAACTGGATGGGGGTGCATGCTTGCCCCCAAACACCTTTCGTTTTCACTGCTAGTCAGTTGCACCTGGATGCTAGAGTGCACCCACACACCCCCTTTGGGGGAAACGGGCCTTTGGGCTGAAGAGAAATGGTTCATTCTTTCAAATTATCTGACTGATTCACATCCTTTACATGGAAAAGATCGCAACAGCCATGACGCAAGCAGCAAAACCGAGAATTCAAATCTGCCACCTACTTACTGAGATTGTCCCAGGCTAAGGAAAGTCCACACTAAACCTCCTCCAATTTTGCATTAACATGATCAGGGGGCTTGTTTCTGCCTCTTTTTCAATTTTTCCCGGGGGCGAGCCGTCTTGCGGCTTCTCTGCAGTTTCTTCGCAACAAACTGGGGGGGGAAACAAACCAGGTGGACTGCCGTGTTGGGTTGAAGCAGATCAAAGTTTTTGAGTCCACAAGGACCTTTAAAACCAACAATTGCTCATTCAAGGTAGGAGCCTGTGCATCTGAGGAAGTGTGCCCGCACACGAAAGCTCCTACCTTGAACAACCCTTTGTGGGTCTTAAAAGGTGCCACTGGACTCAAACTTTGTTCCACGGCAGATCCAGGTGGGAAGCCCTGTTGCTCTGAACCAACAGAACAAAGTTCGAGTCCAGCGGCACCTTTAAGACCCACAAAGATTTGTTCAAGGTGTGATCTTTCCTGTCTGAGGAAGTGTGGGGCGCACACGAAAGCTCACACTTTGAACAACCCTTTTTGGGTCTTAAAAGGGGCCACCGGACGGACTCTTCACTTCTGTTCTATTTCTTGTATGGGAAGGGAAAGCGAAAACTGAAGCTGCGCCACTCCCCCGCTTTCCGTGTCGAAGGCAGAAGCCGTTTCTCGGTAAAATGTCACCACAGAATCGCCCCCCTCCTTCCCCAAACCCAGGGGCGCCCGACGCGCAGCCTTCGCCAAGCGGAACCGAGGACTATTTGAAATTCCCCACCGGGCCAAAGAGATCCGCCTCGTTCCCGGGCCGGAGCCGGAGCTGCATCGAGACCGACTGCGGTTTTGGCGAAGACGGGCGCCTTTAAGGAGCGCCTTCTTCCGCCCGCCTCCACATTCTTTTAACATTCTTTCTATCCCGAGGCGGATCCAGATTCCTCACACACGGCGACCCTGGTCTGCCCAAGGAATCCTTTCCAGGGGGCGGCCATGTTAGTAGTCCCAGGGAAGCTGCCTGGAGCGCGCCGCCCCTCGTCGGGAAAGCGGCCGCTTGGAGCTTGTCCTCTCGCTCCCGGAGCGCCCAGGCGACGTCGCCTTCGCTTCTCGTCGTTTAACCCAGAAATGGGAGGGGAGGGGGCGGCGGTGCCTCGCCTCATGGTTCAGAGCCCCCCTTCCCTCGGTAATGAGCCCGACCCGGGTTCAGTTTGGCGGCCCCCCTCGCCTTCTTTTCGGGCCAGCCGGGCGAGCGCGACGCAAGCGCTGCGCCCTGCTGCTCTTCTTATCCTCTCCGCCTGCCTCCCTTTCCCACGCTAACCCTTGTGGGGTTTTAGCCCCGTGGCCGGCCGCTTCTCACCTCGTTCGTCCTGAGCCTTCCTCGCCCAGCAGGGCTCCCGTCCCGGGGGTTTCCCGCCCGCCCCTCAGGAGGGTCGCCGCGCGCCTGCGACCGCCATTGCCAGCAGGAGCGGCGAACTTTCGGGCTGGAGGGAGCGGCCCTTTGGAGAGGCGCCCGCAGTTCCGCGCCCGACCAGAAGAGCAGGGATGAGGAGGCGCGCCCGGTGCTTCCTGCTCCGGGTCCCACGCGCAGGCCGCCGATGGCGGCGGGTCAATACGGCGGGGGTGAACTTTTCCCCGTGTAAACGCGTGGGATCCGGCGGCGAAGCGCCAAAGACTGGTCAGGATCTCCAAACTTCAACCACGACGAAAGTTCGAGTCCAGTCGTACCTTTAAAGACCGGCAAAGTTCTATTCAAGGTGCAGGGAGATCAAATCAGTCAATCCTCAAAGAAATCAACCCTGACTGTTCCCTGGAAGGCAGCCAGAGAATGAAACTGAAGCGCAAATACTTTGGCCACCCAATGAGAAGGGAGCACTCACTGGAGAAGACCCTGATGCTGGGAAAGATTGAAGGTCAAAGAAGACGGGGACGGCAAAGGATGAGATGGTTAGACAGTGTCATCCATGCAACGAACATGAAATTGAGCAAACGTCAGAGGACGGCGGAAGACAGGAGGGCCTGGCGTGATCTGGTCCATGGGGTCGCGAAGAGTCGGACTCGACTGTGCGACTGAACAACAACAACGTTTTATTCAAAGTCTTCCCGAGAGGAGAAGTGTGCGTGCACACGAAAGCTTACACCTTGTGCGTGCACACCAAGGCTTATGCCTTGAATAAAACTTTGCTGAAGGTGCCGCTGGACTCCAAATTTGTTCTTTTCCTTCAGACCAACACGCTTACGCACCTGAATCTTACCTCCAGAAAGGAAGCAAAATCGAAAGTAGTCGGAGAGGGCTTATGTTGTTACTGAATTCTTATACGATCGCATATTATATTACTTTATCATAATATTAATATTATGGACATATAGATTATTAATATTATGGGAATATCGTATATAGTAGATTAATGGGCATGTAGTATATTAATCCTACTGTATCATAATATGTTATAGTATATTATTATTGTTTATTATATTATTTTAAAATTCCGTGTTTAACCCTGCAATTTTTAATCTTTTTATTTTAAATAATTTTAGATTACATAACATGATAAAACATTATAGTCACAAACTTAAGTCTACCATAAGCTAAATATCTATAGTTTGTAGGGATTGTCTTGTTTAGTTTTCTGTTTCCTTTCGCAAATTCCCAAAAAAGGAAACTCGGGTTCTAGGAAATCAGAGTGGTATTCTGGGGTCTCTGAGGCTAATATTAGATCAGAAATTTTTCCCATAGTGAAGTATTCCCATATTTTATTTCACCATTTGATTTATTTAAGGTGATGCTTTATTTTTCCACGAATAAGTTATTGCCACCTTCCCTGCTACCAACAGAATTGAAATTAATTCATTTCTCAATTTAGGCATCTCATTATCTTTCCGTAGATGTAATAAAATAATTTTGGGGTGTAATGGAACTGTGTGACCAGTAATGCGCTTAATTATTTTCAATATTCCCCCCCCCAACATTCTTGATTTTTATTGCATTCCTACCAACAATAAAAAAAAAATTCCAATCTGTCCACAATCCTTCCAACAACCTGGGTCAATATTTGGATCAATGCAGTGTAATTTTAAAGGGGTCATATACTACCTGGTCATTACTTTAAAAAACTGAAACTTTATACCTCTTGTAAGGAAACCGTTAGATGTCCAGATTCCCCCCCCCCCGTTGCATATCCATTATTTTAATCTTACAATCTCTATGCTATTTAGATTGATATGCAAACTTTTTCTTCCATTGGTTTTAATATAAGAGTTTGTATAATATAGACGTTAGACTTTTGTCATTCCCTTTATTTCCTTTCATAATTTTTTCAAAAGTTGTAAGATCTCTGTTGAGGCTTTTTTAAATGTCTGGATTACTTAATAGATGTTGAACCTCTAAATATTGAGATCAGGTTATATTTTTTGTGCCTTTGGCTTCCAGCTAAATTTTGTGACCGTTGAATGACCGTGTTAGATTATTTATTCTCCATATGTCATAGGTGTTAGCTGTTATACCTGGTATGAAATATTTCTGCCCCAAAAATGATGAAATGGGAGAATGTTTAGGAGTGAGTAGCTCCTTGGGATAGAAACGCTGAACAACATGGTGAGAGACAATATGGAAATTACAGGTCTTAAAGTTAAAGGAGAGCATTTTAAACTTAAAGCTTTCGCTGATGATCTTGTATTTATTCTGGAGGACCCCATGGAACCTATAATACCTTTATTAAAACTAATACAAAACTATGCAGCAATAGCCGAACTTAAAATAAATATTAAAAAAACAAAAATCTTGACAAAAAATTGTACTAAAGAAGACATAACCAAAATCCAAATGATCTCGAAAATAGAAGTAGTAAAAAAAATCAAATATTTAGGTATCAATATATCAAATAAGAAGAATAATTTATATAAAAATAATTACAAAGTATTACTTTAAGAGGTAAAGAATGATTTACAAAAGTGGCATGATCTGCACATATCATTTATGGACAGAATTGCCACTATCAAAATGAATATTCTCCTGCGAATATTATTCTTAGCACAATGCATACCCATATTGAAAATAATAATTTTTTTGATGAACTAAACAAACAAGTTAGGAAATTTATTTGGCAATCGAAAAGATCACGGGTGCTCAATAAATAATGCATTATAAAAAAAGAAAAAGAAAAGATCACGGGTGAAATTGAAACTACTTCGAGAGAGAAAAAACAGAGGAGGGTCCGGAATATCAGACTGGTACCTCTTATTACCAAGCAGCGGCTATGAGTTGGGTGAGAGAATGGATTTTGTTGGAAGATAAGAGATTATTAAAGCTGGAAGGACACAACCTATACATGGGCTGGCATGCCTATGTATGGTATGATAAAAATACAAAAGAATTTCAATAATCATATAATAAGAGGGGCATTAATGAAGATATGGGAAAAAATAAAAGAACGATTCTGTACTAAAATCCCAAGATGGGTCTCTCCATTAGAGGCTATTATAATGCCGACATTAATAACAGATAACAAAAAGATAACATATGACTTGCTCTTAAATGAAAACAACGAATTAAAGACCCTGGAGACATTGCAATCAATGAATATAAACCTCACAAATTGGGAAAAAGTACAGCTACAATCAAGATATACTAAGGATAAAAAAACAAATTTTGCCAAAACAAAACTAGAAATAGATAAAATATGGCTTTCATCAGCAGATAAACTGATTCAGAAATTATATAATTTTCTACTGGAAGACGAAATGCAAGAAGAAGTACTAAAACCATCCATGGTAGCATGGATAAAAGATATAGGACATAATATAACAATAGATGATTGGGCAAAAACATTTAATTCTATCAAACTACTAAGGTCCACATCATATAAGGAAAATATATTTAAAATGCTATATAGATGGCACTGGACACCTGACAAACTGTCCAAATGTTATAAAAATGTTTCTGGAAATTGTTGGAGATGTAGAAATAATATAGGAACATATTATCATATATGGTGGCGCTGCGGGAAGATTCAAAAATTTTGGAAAGTTATTAAACAACTAATAAAAAAAACTATGGAGATTGAGTTGCCGCTTTTACCAGAAACATACCTGCTTAATATAACAACAGATAGAATTAAGAATAACGAACTATGTATTATATTATATATTCTCACAGTAGCTAGAATTCTTGTTGCGAAATGCTGGAAAACAGATAGAGTACCGTGTAGAGAAGAAATAATCACGAAGATTCTTTCAAAAAAATGGCAAAAAAATAAATGGTTTGGAAACAATCTTTAATGATAACTCCACAAAGTGACTATTATGTAACAGATATACTCTCTTGTACTTTTTTGTATGGAAAACGTGAATAAATAAACTTTATACAAAAAAAAAGGAGTGAGTAGCTCCCTTCTTCTATCCCAAATGCGCAGGGTGTTATTTAAGAGACGATTTAGTTTTATAGGGTTAGCTCTTTCTTTTGTTTTATTCTATATTACCTCTTCCAATGGGGCAGGGTCTGTAAATGTTTCTTCTATATTTCCCCAGCTTTTCAAATCGGTATGTTTAGTATATGCTAGTATATTTTTGAATTGGGCAGATTCATAATGTGCTATAAGATCAGGTAGGGCATAACCCCCTAGTTTAGGTAGGCATTTTAAGATTTGATGGCTAATTCTCGATTTTTTTAATTGTCCCAAATAAATTTGTTTAATTTATATTACCATGTCTTCAAGTCCTTAGCTAGTAAATTAATGGGCATAGTTTGAAAGAGAAATTTTGGGGAAATTTTGGGAAGAAGAAGAGGAGGACATTGGATTTATACCCCGCCCTTCACTCGGAGTCTCAAAGCGGCTTACAATCTCCTTCCCCTCCTCTCTCAACAACAGACACCCTGTGAGGTGGGTGGGGCTGAGAGAGCTCTGAGAGAACTGTGGCTTGCCTAAGGTCACCCAGAAGCTGCGTGTGGAGGAGGAGTGGGGAATCAAACCGAGTTCTCCCGAATTAGAGTCCGCACTCCTAACCACTGCACCAAACTGGCAGGGTATAAATCAACTTTAAAAATATTGTTTTTTAATTAGATTTGAATCCTGCTCATCAGCTAAAAAACATTTGGGTGCAAAAGTAAATCAAGTGCAAATAACAAATTTAATTAAACCTAAGGTAGTAAAAGATAACAAATGGATAATAAGCATGGAAAAACATGCAGTCTTTTTTAAAAAAAACAGTTTTATTAGTTTATATATAGAAAGGGGGAAAGGGAAAAGAAGGAGGGGGGAAGAGTACAGAGTTGTATAAAAAAATCTCAAATTAGCATTCTGCATGGAAAACCTCTCCTGAATGTTTCACAACTATTATAACCATCTTTCTTATTGTTCTTCATTTAGTCTTAGTTTCTTAGTACTTCTTTTAACCAGTCATAGAACGCCCTCCGTGGTCTGTGCGACTGAACAACAACAACATGGTTCTTATCTAAGTCATCTGGTAGACAGTTTAACAAGAATACTTCTGGTTTAAAAACCATTGTAATATTCAACACTGATTGTAAGAAAGTATGTACTCCAATCCAGTATTTATGAACCTTTTTACATGTCCACCACATATGATAGTATGATCCAACTTAATTATTACATTTCCAGCATTTGTTACTCAAGTTTTTATACATTTAGCTAACCTATCTGGGTTTAGATGCCATCTATAGAACATTTTACACAAATTTTCTTTAAATACAACCGATTTGGTCAACTTGATATTCACATTCCATAGTTTACTCCATTGTGACAAATCTATGTTATAGCCTACATTTTGCATCCATTTA